AATATTAAAACAACAAAACAAAAAGCAATAAACAATAAATAACAATAAAACACAATAAAAACACAATAAAAACTGGGCCGGCCAGAGTAAAGGGTACAGGATTAAAAGTGCTGATGTGACAGGTGATGTGTAAGGATTATAGGGTAAGTGCAGTGTGCAGTGTGTGGCAATCTTAATTCTAATAAAGTGCTTCTGGGACTTGGTATTGGAGATTTCCTATTCAGGGAAGGCACATCGGAACAGCCAGGTCTTCAAGTTCTTTCTGAAGACTGCCAATGTAGGGGCCTGTCTAAGATCTTTGGGGAGGGTGTTCCAGAGTCGGGGGGCCACCACAGAAAAGGCCCTGTCTCGTGTCCCCACCAAACGCGCTTGCGATGCAGGCGGGATCACGAGCAGGGCCTCTCCAGATGAACGAAGTGAACGCGTGGGTTCGTAGACGGAGATGCGGTCACGCAGGTAGGCTGGTCCCAAACCGTTCAGGGCTTTGTAGGTAAGCACCTGCACCTTAAATTGGGCTCGGAAGATAAACGGCAGCCAGTGGAGCTCCTTGAACAGGAGGGTTGACCTCTCTCTGTAAGGAGCACCAGTTAACATCCTGGCCGCTGCTTGTTGGACAAGTTGGAATTTCCGAGCCGTTTTCAAGGGCAGCCCCACGTAGAGCGCATTACAGTAATCCAACCTAGAGGTGACCAAGGCATGGACCACCCCGGCCAGATCAGCCTTCGCGAGGTACGGTCGCAGTTGGCGCACAAGTCTTGTGCGAAAGCCCTCCCAGACACCGCCGACGCCTGAGCCTCAAGCGTAAGTGATGAATCCAAGAGGACTCCCAAACTGCGGACCTGTGGTTTCAGGGGGAGTGTAACCCCATCCAACACAGGTTGCCATTTACACGACTGACCAGAAGGACCTCTGTCTTGTCGGGATTGATCTTCAGCTTGTTCCTCCTCATCCAGATAGACACAGCGGCCAGGCACTCGTCCAGCACCCGAGAGGTCTCCTTGGAATTAGGTGGAAAGGAGTAGTAGAGTTGTGTGTCATCCGCATAAAGATGCTATGGAATGTGGATAAGGAGGAGCCAGCCTGAGCTCCCTGGGAAGGGAGTTCCAGAGATGAGGCGCCACCACCAAGAATGCTCTTTCCCTCGTCCCCACCAACCGCGCCTGAGACGGGGGTGGGAGCGAGGGGAGAGCATCCCCGGAAGATCTTAAGGTCTGTGTGGGCTCGTAGGGGAGGATGCAGTCACGAAAATAGGCAGGACCTGAACCGTTTAGAGCTTTATAGGTAATAAGGTTGGCACAAAGGTCGGCGGCCAGATTGTTAACCGGAGCGAGACAGGAGGGTTGACTGCTCCCTGTAACTTGCTCCAGTTAACAATCTGGCCGCCGACCTTTGCACCAGCTGTAGTTTCCGAACCGTCTTCAAGGGCAGCCCTATGTAGAGTGCATTACAGTAGTCTAATCTTGAGGTAACTAAGGCATGGACCACCATGGTCAAATCAGACTTCTCAATGTATGGTCGCAGCTGGCGCACAAGTCTTAACTGTGCAAAGGCCCTCCTGGCCACCGCCGACACCTGAGCATCAAGCGTCAGCGCTGAATCCAGGAGGACCCCCAGACTGCGGACCTGTGCCTTCAGTAGCAGGAACTTAAGAGCTGTTTTTGGCAGTGGAATATGCTGCCTGGGAGTCCAGTGGAGTCTCCTTCTCTGGAGGTATATAAGCAGAAGCCGGATGGTCATCTGTTCGGAGGGCTTTGCTGGTGTCTTAGAATCATAGAATAGAATCTTAGAGTTGGAAGAGACCTCATGGGCCATCCGGTCCAACCCCCTGCCAAGAAGCAGGAAAATTGCATTCAAAGCACCCCCGACAGATGGCCATCCAGCCTCTGCTTAATTTATTGATTTGATTTTATTTCGAATACTTTTACCCCGCCCTTCTCAACCCCTGGGGGGGACTCAGGGCAGCTTCCAATTGGCAACAATTCAGTACCGTGAAATAAAATACAAAACACCAATAATTATATTAGTTAAAAGCATTAAAACATGAAAAAATAAAACACTAAAGCAATATACTTACAGTCCACTGAGCTATTACCAGTTTGGTGGCCATTTATCTAGCCAGATACTATGATTGAGTACTCCATTTAACTTATCCATAATCCATTTCCAGCTATTGTCAAGATTGTCAATTATAATTTCCGCCTAATTACCCGAAGGCCTGGTCCCACATCCATGTTTTTACCTTCTTTCTAAGGTGAAGAGGGATGACGATGACCTAATTTCCCCGGGAGTGAATTCCACAGGCAGGGGGCCACCACCGAGAGGCCCTGTCCCTCATCCCCGCCAACGTGTTTGAGACAGAGGGTGGGGCCGAGAGCAGGGCCTCTCCTGAAGATCTTAAACTCCGAGGTGGAACATAGAAGGAGATACGTTCAAAAGCTTCAAAGAAGGAGCCTCCACCACACTCCGGGGCAGAGAGTTCCACTGCTGAACGGCTCTCACAGTCAGGAAGTTCTTCCTCATGTTCAGATGGAATCTCCTTTCTTGTCGTTTGAAGCCATTGTTCCGTGTCCTAGTCTCCAGGGCAGCAGAAAACAAGCTTGCTCCCTCCTCCCTGTGACTTCCTCTCACATATTTATACATGGCTATCATATCTCCTCTCAGCCTTCTCTTCTTCAGGCTAAACATGCCCAGCTCCTTAAGCCGCTCCTCATAGGGCTTGTTCTCCAGACACTTGATCATTTTAGTCGCCCTCCTCTGGACACATTCAAACTTGTCAATATCTCTCTTCAATTGTGGTGCCCAGAATTGGACACAATATTCCAGGTGTGGTCTAACCAAAGCAGAATAACTTTTATTATGCGATCATCTATTTGTCTGCCTATCTACCTACCTCTTGCCTAAGAAAACCCTACAGAATGCCTCCCTATAAATAACCAGGCGTTAAGGGCGCTCTGTAAATAGCAAACATCCAGAGAACAGACTCATTCCTCAGACTGGAGCATTAGCACTGGAGGAGCTCTGTACTAATTAGCAGGCTCTTAATTAAATAGCCTTTTTGATTTGCATCCAAATTACAACTTGTGTGTTATGTCCTGGCTTTGATTAGCTCTTGTCCTCATCATAGTGTTTTGGGTTTTTCTTTTTTTTAAAGTGCTTTTAAAACCTCACTTTGGGCAAATGATGCCAGAAGCCTTGCTCCGAGTCCAAGGCCTCCGGCCCCGGAAGGTGAAAAGGCCGGTCCCTTTCGCATCCATTTAAAATCCATTATGGGTCGCCTGCTGCAGCTTATCAAACGAGTCTTTTTCTCTCTCTTTCTCTTTATTTTCCCAGCGACTGCTTCGGGAATCTATAGCTCTGTGCAGGTAAATGGGATTTCATGGGCTTCTAACCTTTCTTCCTTTATTGAAAAGCAGAATATTACCTGCTCCAGTGACCAGCCTGTCCATTAAAGGCACGCGGGGATATTTTTAGAAAATGGTTTGACAATCAAATCCCTCTGTAGAGAAGCCTTTCAACTCAGGGCTCTTTCTCTTTATATGTTTATAGACGGAGCCTTGAATGTTTTGTTTTGCCATGCTGGCCTTTGCGGAGTTTTGGTAAAGATTGGACCCACTTCAGGTTGCATAAATGGGTGGAAAACCTGACGTTAAAAAGACAATTGAGCGCTGTGGGTTGTCCGATGCCTTCATAAACGTAGTGGCCACCAGTCACATCAAACAGCTTTACTGGTCAGCATTTGGACACAGGTCAAACTGTTGCTTATGACCTATAGATTCTATAGACAGTTCAGGTCATCTGGAAGCCCTTATCTTCCTCTTTGAATCTGCTGGAGTCTTAGGATCTTTTGGAGAAGGAAGGAAGGAAGGAAGGAAGGAAGGAAGGAAGGAAGGAAGGAAGGAAGAGGGAAGAAAGGAAGAAAGGAAGAGGGAGGGAAGGAAGGAAGGAAGGAAGGAAGGAAGGAAGGAAGGAAGGAAGGAAGGAAGGAAGGAAGGAAGGAAGGAAGGCAGAGGGAGAAAGAAGACAGGGAGTGAAGGAGAAAGAAAAAGGAGGTGAGGAAGGAGAGAAAGGCAAGGAGGAAATGTGTAAGGCAACCTTCCTAATGCCTTGACCCCTTAATATAGTTCCTTATGTTGTGGTGACCCCCAACCATAACATTATTTTCGTTGCTACTTTGTAACTGTAATTTTGCTACTGTTATGAATCGTCATGTCAGTATCTGGTACGCAGGATGTATTTTCATCCACTGGACCAAACTTGGCACAAATACCCAATACGCCCAAATTTGAATACTGGTGGGGTTGGGGTGGGGTTGATGTTGTCATTTGGGAGTTGTAGTTGCTGGGATTTATTGTTTACCTACAATCAAAGAGAATTCTGAACTCCACCAGTGATTGAATTGGCACACAAAACTCCCATGACCAACAGAAAATACTGGAAAGGTTTGGTGGGCATTGACCTTGAGTTATGGAGTTATGGAGAGCACTCTGGATATAGGTGATAGATCTGGACCAAACTTGGCATGAATACTCAATATGCCTAAATGTGAACACTGGTGGAGCTTGGGCAAAATAGACCTTGACATTTGAGAGTTGTAGTTGTTGGGATTTATAGTTCACCTACAATCAAAGAGCATTCTGAACTCCACCAGTGATAGAATTAGACCAAACTTCGCAGAGACCCCCATGACCAACAGAAAATACTGGAGGGATTTGGGATGAATTGACAGTTATTTAGTCGAGATGTAGTTCACCTACATCCACAGAGCACTGTGAACCCAAATGGCTTGGCCAAAGGGATTCCTAAGACCATCAGATCTCAGTATAAATGTTGTTGTTCCTATAAATGTTGTTGTTCCTCCTTGTTCCTTCTTTGCTTTTGTGTCCCAAGTAAATACGTACTTTCCCCATTTAAACAGGCCTTCAAAGGGTCAGCCTCTCTTTTTGTCCTCTGCCCCAATTTGTATTTTGCGTTTTTACTGAATGCTTGTCTTTCCATTACAGGGCATTGATTTCTGCCCAGGACAGAATATTTCCGGAGTCACTTCCCATGATCAAGAGGAGCATTCCAAGCTTCCCCTACTCTTCCACCTGGGCAAGGACCCTGGGGAGAGATTTCTCATCAGGTGAGGAAGGCATGGATTGAAAACATGTGGGGGGGGGGTTTACTTACCAAGTTAGATAATTGTTAGATAGCCTGAACCTAAAATAGAATCATAGGGTGGGAGGAGACCCCAAGGGTCATCTAGACCAACTCCCTGCCTTATAGGAAGACACCATCAAAGCCCTCCCAACACATGGCCATCCATCTTCTACTTAAAAACCTCTGGAAAGGGAGACTCCAATGGACTCCCAAGCAACGTATTCTACTATAGCTCTTGCTGTCAGGAAGTTCTTCCTAATGTTTATGTGGAATCTCTTTCCTGCAGTTTCTTGCAGTTTGAATCCATGTTTTATTCTCTGGAGCAGCAGCAAACAAGCTTGCTCCTTCCTCAATAGAACATCCTTTCAGATACTGAAATAATAATAATAATAATAATAATAATAATAATAATAATAATAATAAATAATAATAATAATAAAAAATCACACAGTCCTAGACGCTTGGGGAGTGTTCGACTTGTGATTTTGTGATATGAAATCCAGCATAGAGATCTCGTTTGCTGTGACATACTGTGGTTTTGGGACAGCAAAATAATAATAGTAATAATAATAATAATAATAATCCCAGGCGACAGCAGAATTGAAGAGTAATAGTTGGAAAAGATGACACGATTTAAAGATTGAACTACAACGTTTCTGGCACAAGCCAGTCAAGGTGGTCCCAGTGGTGATCGGCACACTGGGTGCAGTGCCCAAAGACCTTGGCCTGCACTTAAACACAATTGGCACTGACAAAATTACCATCTGTCAGCTGCAAAAGGCCTCCCTACTGGGATCTGCATGCATTATTCTGCCGATACATCACACAGTCCTAGACTATTGGGAAGTGTCTGACGTGTGATCAAATACAACAGCCAGTTTGCTGTGTACTAATATTGTAGTGTTTCAAATAATAAGAATAAGAATAACATGAATAATATGAATAAAATAATATAATAACAACAACAACCAAGTATCGATCATCAATGTTGCAATCTCAGGCGATAGGATTGATGAGAAGCAAGTAGAAAAGTTGACACGATATGAGGATTTAAATATTGAACTACAAAGACTCTGGCACAAGCCAGTCAAGGGGGTCCCAATGGGAATCAGCACACTGGGTGCAGGGCCTGAAGACCTTGGCCTGCACTTGAAAACAATTGGCGCTAACAAAATTCTGCAAAAGGCCACCCTAATCGGATCTGCACGCATTATTTGCCGATACATCACACAGTCCTAGAATTCCTTACTTAGGTGAGCCCTCGTAGTCCAAGGATGATGGTCCTCCAAGTGTAATGTCTTGGCGATGGGTCCGTAGCTGGCTGTAGAGCCCTATTCTTGATCTGCATGTTCTTCCACAGTGAGGACATTGGTTTCCAGGTGGAAGGTGGTTCCGGTCAGGGTTGGCTTGATGCACCTTCCTCTTGGCATGTTTCTCCCTTTCACCCTCCATTTGTGCCTCTTCTAATTCTGCAGCACTGCTGGTCACAGCTGGCCTCCAATTAGAGCACTCAAGGGCCAGGGCTTTTCAGTTCTTGGTGTCTATGCCACAGTTTTTAAGGTTAGCTTTAAGTCCATCTTTACCTCTCTTTCCCTGTTTACCTTTCTTGAGTTGGGAGTATAGTAACTGCTTTGGGAGACGGTGATTGGGCATTTGGACAACGTGGCCAGTCCAGTAGAGTTGGTGGCGTAAGAGCACCTCTACAGTGCTGGGGGTCTTTGCTGCTTCTTCCAGCAGGCTGACATTGGTCTGCTTGTCTTCCCAAGAGATTTGCAGGATTTTTCAGAGGCAACGCTGATGGAATCATTCCAGGAGTTGAGTGTTGTCTGTAGACAGTCCACATTTTGCAGGTGTATACAAGATTGGGAGAAAAATAGCTTTATAAACAAGGGGTCTCCCTACAGATGTCCCGATCTGCAAACACTCTCTGCTTCATTTGGAAAAATGCTGTACTCGCAGAGCTCAGGCGGTGATGTATTTCAGTATCAATGCTGACTTTTGTGGAGAGGAATCCGCTTCATGGATTCTAAGGAGGAAGAGTAAAGACAAATCCCTTTTGCAAAACTTGCATAGGAATGTGGGCGGAATGAATCCTTCAGCCTAATCCTATTTCTAGTCTAGCTACTCATTGAGGTCTGGAAACTTGATGACACAAGAGACTTGTGCAGTCCAGGGATGAAACTCAACACTTTGAATTATGCCTAGAAACAGATCACTTTCCTCCTTTAAACAGCAGAACAAGCACATACCGACTCCATTGCCCCCTCTCTGTAATCAAGGGCCTTCAAAGCAAACTAAGTGTTTTTGATGGAGAGGGAAGGAGAGATGATGTTTCTTTCTCTGTTGTGAATGAGCCCCCCCCCCCCCCCAAAGATAATGCTTTCCCCATCCTCCTGCTTTTCATCACTGCAACTCGAGTGTGGTTTGTGTCTGGGTTGCATTAACTGCGGGAAGAGGGATTGCCAGCGGAGAGCTACTTGAAGGTCGATGGTGCAAAACCAACCCAAGTGAAATAAGTGCTGCAGCTGCTGACAAAGACTTCAAGCCAACGGTTTCATTCAGAGACTCGGCTTCATTCTGGGATTTCTGGGAGCTCAAAAGCAAAACAGTCAGTAAGAAATTCCTTATGAATAGGATTTCAGTTGTGAATTCCTTCAGCTTGCGGGACTACATATGCAGAAGTAAAGTACATATAATACTTAGGTATACAATTGATTTTCTCCTTTTTAAAATTTATGCCATTTGGACCTTTGTCCAAGTACTTTGCCTTTGCAAGGCTTTGCTTCTGTTGTAATTGAAGTATTCATAGAATCAAAGAGTTGGAAGAGACCTCATGGGCCATCCAGTCCAACCCCCTGCCAAGAAGCAGGAAAATGCATTCAAAGCACCCCCGACAGATGGCCATCCAGCCTCTGTTTAAAAGCTTCCAAAGAAGGAGCCTCTACCACACTCCGGGGCAGAGAGTTCCACTGCTGAATGGCTCTCACAGTCAGAAATTTCTTCCTAATGGCTGGAATCTCCTTTCTTGTAGTTTGAAGCCATTGTTCCGCGTCCTAGTCTCCAGGGAAGCAGAAAACAAGCTTGCTCCCTCCTCCCTGTGGCTTCCTCTCACATATTTATACATGGCTATCATATCTCCTCTCATCCTTCTCTTCTTCAGGCTAAACCTGCCCAGCTCCTTAAGCCGCTCCTCATAGGGCTTGTTCTCCAGACCCTTGATCATTTTAGTCGCCCTCCTCTGGACACATTCCAGCTTGTCAATATCTCTCTTGAATTGTGGTGCCCAGAATTGGACACAATATTCCAGGTGTGGTCTAACCAAAGCAGAATAGAGGGGTAGCATTACTTCCCTAGATCTAGACACTATGCTCCTATTGATGCAGGCCAAAATCCCATTGGCTTTTTTGCTGCCACATCACATTGTTGGCTCATGTTTAACTTGTTGTCCACAAGGACTCCAAGATCTTTTTCACACGTACTGCTCTCAAGCCAGGCATTGTCCCCATTCTGTATCTTTGCATTTCGTTTTTTCTGCCTAAGTGGAGTATCTTGCATTTGTCACTGTTGAACTTCATTTTTTTAGTTTTGGCCCATCTCTCTAATCTGTCAAGATCTTCTTTTTGAAGACTGGATTCTCCAGCTTTATCTGCATCTCGGTGTGTTCAATCTTCAGCCATTTCTCATCTTGGTTCTCTTGCTTTCCCATATGTCAGTATTTTTCAACCTGGGGGTTGGAACCCCTGGAGGGGGTTATGAGTGAGTGTCAGAGGGGTCGCCGAAGATCACCACAAAACACATATTTCTGATGGTCTTAGGAACCCCTTTGGCAGAGAAAGCTGAAGATCTCTCCGCCTGTCCTTCTCTTCCTTGTTGGAAACAGACGGCGAATCCTCCCACCATAAGCCCCCCTCTGCTGTGATTGGTTGGCCTCTCATCCAAGAGGAGGGCTGTTTCTGAGACTCCAAGTGGGGGGGGGGGGGGGAGAGCAGGCGTGTTTGGCACATGGCAGTGTGGTGTGCATATGCGGGCAAGGGAGAACATGCAAGGCTGGAGAGAGGCTCTCACCAACAAATCTCTTCAAGTCATAGGGGTTCTGTGTGGGAAGTTTGGCCCAATTCTCTCATTGGTGGGGTTCAGAATGCTCTTTGATTGTAGCTGAACTATAAACCCCAACTCCCCAACTCCCAAATGACAAAATAAATCCCCCTCAACCCCACCAGTATTCAAATTTGGGTGTATCGGGTATTTGTGCTCTATTTTCCCCAAATCCCATCTGGGTTCATATTTGGGCATATTGAGTATTCATGCCAAGTTTGGTCCAGATCCATCATTGTTTGAGTCCACAGTGCTCTCTGAGTGTAAGTGAACTACAACTCCAAAACACAAGGTCAATGCCCACCAAACCCTTCCAGTATTTTCGGTTGGTCATGGGAGTTCGGTGTTCCAAGTTTGGTCCAATTCCATTGTTGGTGTAGTTCAGAATGCTCTTTGATTGTAGGTGAACTATAAATCCCAACAACTACAACTTCCAATTGTCAAGGTCTATTTTCCCCAAACCCCTCCAGTGTTCACATTTGGGCATATTGAGTATTTGTGGCAAGTTTGGTCCGGATCCATCATTGTTTGAGTCCACAGTGCTCTCTGGATGTAGGTGAACTACAACTCCAAAACTCAAGGTCATTTCCTACCAAACCCTTCCAGTATTTTCTGTTGGTCGTGAGAGTTCTGTGTGCCAAGCTTGGTTCAATTGCATTGTTGGTGGAGTTGTAGGTGAACTATAAATCCCAGCAACTACAACTCCCAAATGACAAAATAATCCCCCTCAACCCCACCAGTATTCAAATTTGAGTGTATTGGGTATTTGTGCCAAATTTGGTCCAGTGAATAAAAATGCATCCTGCATATCAAATATTTACATGGCAATTCATAACAGGAGCAAAATGAGAATTATGAAGTAGCATCTACAATAATGTTATAGTTGGG